TACTATATAATGGGTACACGGTTCACCAATTCTGCTTATCATATATGAATTGCATGCGTAGCGTAACGACATCAGTTATCGTAATGCCTGCTAATGGAATAGCTACATATGTCATGTGGCTGTGGCATCTGTCATCTGTCATCTGTCACCTGCATGTAGGGCTAGTCACATTCTGGGCGTTCGCAACATGTCAGGTGACGAGCTCGATATGTGACGACGTTTGTAGTTTCAAAAGCCCCAGGGCCTAACTAACGCTTTTCCTGTTGGGTTTTCGAGAGCTCAGTGAGGGCAAGCTCAATGCGCCGACGATAAGTACTGTACTGTGGTGTTGATCGCGGTTGCACGAATCCACCTGCAAGGTATAAGTCAGTGCCTTGTGCGCCTCAATGCCAGGCACCCGCATAGCCCAGCCCTGTTTCGATACTGAAGGACTTTGAGACCGCTTACCCGAGGTAAGACCTGGCCGGTTAGTTTAAACCATTCGGAAGTTGAGCCGTCAGCCAGCCAGTCGATGCATATGCAATACTTAAAAAATCTATGGATGCATGTTGATCAATGCGAACGGTTGGAAGACGGTTTGCGGGCAGAGAGGAATGTCAAGGCCGAAAGTCATTGACATGCGCCTGATGAAACAGTTTGAGACTTCAGGTTACCTACAAACAAAGCTTGGCCGCAGCTGGTAGCTTGTGCGATAGGAGCCGACACAACTGAATGTCAGCCGCTAGTTTATGCCATGCTTACCTATTCATGCATGCATGCATGCTAAATAAAGCAAAGTCGGTGCCTTGGGTCAGGTCGCTACTAGGTACACTACAGTACAGTAAGTACATTTACGAGGCGCGAGGCAGAGAAATAGGTTCAACGTAGCCTAGCTTTCCAAGATACATAATGTTTAAACTTACTTATCTCAATTCTACTGTCGGTACGTACAGTATGAAGCCTAAAGATCGCCGAAGTTCGCCAGGCACATCCATCTTACTTACATCATTACTACGGCTCCCGTGGCTTTTAGTGGACCGCCCAACACAAATCACGCCCACGTTGCCACCCAAGTTGAGTACGTGTACGCCCAGACTACAGGCACGAAATGGGACGATTCTAGTCAATGCCCTGCTCTACCCTGTTCTAGGCAGGTATTGCCTAGGTACAGAAAAATGGGGCAGATGGCGGATACTAGAACCTAAAATATGCCCCGCTTCCTGTTAAGGCAAAAGCTGGACGCAACGGCAAAGCACTAACAGGCGCCAGGTAGAGGCTGGTATCAGTCGCCGACGAATCCGGAAAGGCCAAACCGGGTGTTGTTACGACTCTGACGATGTGCTCGGGCGCAGCGGGAACTGCGCGCCCGCCAGCTCAGCATGCCTACCTTAGTGTACACGACCGGTAAAGTAGTGCACCCGTACCTGCTGGAGTGCACCGCATGAGAAGATCGAGACCGCTTCGCCGTTGGCACCGTCCACCCGCATCGCTGCACTGCTACTTACAGTACATGGCCGTCCCCATCATTACCCCAATCCCAGTCCCAATCCCAATCCCAATCCCCTCTGTAGCCACTCACATTAGGTACCCTCTTCACCACTATCATTCCATCATTCTGTTACAGTACTGTACTCCGTTCCACCTCCAAGCTGGCTTGCTATTTTCCCTCACCTAACCCTTAGTAGTCTATACTGGGCTCGATCGTTTCAAACAGGTCGCGAGGCTGTTCGCTTTCCTTTCCATTGCCTTCTCTACCTCTTCGATTCTTTTCCCTTCGTCCATCACCATCATCATCATCATCATCATCATCACTACCATCACCGCCTCCTGCCCAGCCCTGCCCAGGCCCAACCCCTCACACCGACAACAACGAGCGTAGACTCGCCCTTACCGACGCCCTTGCCGTGGTGTAGCGCAACATCTACTGCCTTATCGCCGCCACATTCCACCGTCCAGCCCGCTGGGCCGTCAAGCAGTGTGACCTACGACGAAACCCACCACCACGACAGCCCGACCCCCAAACAACACCCCCGTATCTTCGACAGACCTATTGATCAGTTTGATCCTACCGGTGTTATCCTTTTCTTTCGCTCCAGCATCGGGGTATTCGTCCTCGACAGGACTGCGCGGCCGAATGACTGTGGCAAACCGGTGACAGCAGCGTCCCAGCTTTGGATCTCGCTCATTTCACCAGCAGCACACGATCCCCACCGGCCCAACATGACAAGTCCTCTAGATGGCATCATCATCGGGCTGCTCTCGTCCTTTGGCTCTGCCGTCATAGTGGCTATCATCTTCCTCGTCATCTACTTCTTCCGCCACACTGCATCTGGTCGCATTTTCTTAGACCGCATCGGCCGACCCGGCGAATATGACGATGAGCAGGCCTTCGCAAAAGAAGAGGCCGAGGCCCTGGAGACGATGGAGGACATGCAGAGAACCGAGTACCTCAGAGCAAAAGGTAACCCCTTTTCCCCGACAGCTAGGCACACAGAAAGATGCCTTCGGTGCTATGTTGTGTTTCCGACTAACAAGCTCTCAGCCTTCATACAAGGAAACCCACCCGAGTCAATCCAGACAGACATTTCCTTATCACAATATTTAGCTATTCAAGAAAAGGGCGTATCCGCATGGGAATTTGAGCCGGAATTGGAGATCGCCAACTGTTTTGTCGAAGCCAGGACCGAAATCGAGTTCTTCGACTCCGAGTGTACAGTCATGAGCAACCTGCCTGTACCAAAACAAAATGAGGTTTATTACTGGGAGGCAAAGATATTTGAAAAGCCTGAAAGTACATTATTAAGCATCGGAATGTCCACGAAACCCTACCCGTTATTCAGGCTTCCAGGTACGTATATCGTGTGTTTATAAATCTATGTTCAGGTTCGAGGTTTAACATTGTCTACAGGGTATCACAAATATTCTGCTGCGTACACGTCTACAGGCGCACGGAGATATAATCAGCCCTTCATGCCTTCGCCGTACGGGCCTCCGATCGTTCAAGGTGATGTTATTGGTGTGGGGTACCGCCCTCGAACTGGTACTATTTTCTTCACACGCAATGGCAGACGGTTAGATGACGTCGTCCACGGATTGAAATCACAGAACTTCTTCCCCTCGGTTGGCGCCAACGGTCCCTGTATTGTTCATGTCAATTTCGGACAGGCCGGCTTTGTCTTTATCGAGGCCAACGTGAAGAAATGGGGGCTTGCACCCATGACGGGCAGTTTGGCACCGCCACCACCGTATGGGAGCGAACAGGGTAGCATCTTACTGGAATCCGGCCGTAGGAAGGACGAGACTCCGGGATCGCCATCGCAAACCCATGCATATTCGCAATCCTTTCAACCATACACAAACCGAGGTCCAATACTAGAGTCTAGTCATACGCGAACGCGTAGCGGCAATTACCGAGTGCTTCCACCGACCAGTCCGGGACCCCAAAGAAGTCCTACGGATATTTCTCTGGCACAATTAGTTCCAACGGACGAGGCAGGTGAAGGGAGCACCAGCGGCCATGGCTTTGTGCCCCCTGGGGAGCACGTGGTCGACATCACTGGGCTAAGCATACATGAAGCCTCGCATCCACCACCCGAATATACTAGTCCCGAGCATTCCGACGAGGATGGCAGCGGTTCCGAGAGTGATGTTGCCCCGCTCATTAGGACTCCAATGCGGAGCCGTGGGGCTTCTGCCGCCGCACTCCGCCCGAATAACCCCCCAATTCCCAGTTATAGCGATGCTGTGCGCCAGGGCGCTGGTAGGGATAGAAGCCGAAGCGATACGAGTGCCATGCAGAGGCGGAGCGGCTATTGAGTTGAGGGCGCTTTTCTCATCAAAAAACTTGGACTGGCGTTGGTAGGCGCAAAAGGATTTGGCATAATCAAGGTTGTAAGGGAATTAAGCGCCCCTCAACCAGGGCATCCGCACAGAGTGAATTGTCAGGGTGGGAAATACTGCCAGTCTGTTAGAAATACCCGGCCAGCAAGCCACATTGTAGCCATCAACATGAGAGGCGGCGTTACAGGTGTTCTTTTGTCGAGATGATTATTCTTAGCCATTTTTTTGTAACCAGCCAACGGCTGTGCTCCCGGTGGTAACAGGTTTACGACGTCACTATACTACATAGATACATTGCATTGGAAGCTCCGGCTTACTGGTGTTGGGGCAAGCGGGTGATTTCACTTGTAGGCACACGCCGCTCGTATCATAGCTCGGTCAAATGCGAAAAGAAATATTTCGACCATCCCATGCGTGATGTCGGCCAAGTTATAATTTGCTGCATGAGAGAAGCTTGAGATCTGTTTCGTGTTTCGGACATTTAGAGCGTCGGTCGTAGTCCTTATTCCTTTTCGAAGACAGGAACCCCCTGCTTGGTAATTATGCTGTTCGTGGGAATGGAACGGTCTCCTCCCCAGACGAGAGGGTTACGTCCCGTCCGGGTGGCGGTTTGATTTGATATATATCTACCTACCTAGATAGCGTGATAGAGTAATACCTATCTAAGAGAGGGAGGGAGAAATTATTAACTTGATTTCACCTGAGTTTATTTATGTAAGATATGTTTCTTCTTCTCCCCTCTTGTTCTAACCTGGAATTCTCGCGCTGCTTGTGTTCAGTCCCCCGAAAGCTTCACTACTTACGATGGATAAATTGCGATTTACTATCTTTATCCCATCACTGCCGTGGCCTTGTTAAACCTAAGTTAAGTTGTAGACATGGTGTTGCCTGTTTAGTAGACTGGTTAGCTAATATAGATGATAGGGTTTGAGTCTAAATAGTTGCTGAAGGTGGTGTTCCTTCCCTCTTGACAACTTGGCAGTCTTTGTAAAAGCTACTCACTAGAGTTTCATTATCTACGTCTGAATAGCATCCGTTGCAATTGTATAGACTATGAGGAGTTTTCCCGCACACGCACCCCTTAATCCAGTCACACAACTGATGTCTTGGCGTTTTTGGGTCAGGGTTGTGTGTCCCTGCAGCCTGCCTGAGTATTAAGCTTCGTTTGAATCCAGATTTTCGTCGATTTGGCGCAATGGCTTAGCGCTTACGCCTCCTAAGCGTAGGGTTGCGGGTTCGAGTCCCGTGATCGACGAAATGTGTCGACGGCTACGTCGAGGCATAATTCTTTGGGCGCATGGTCTAGGGGTATGATACTCGCTTTGCATGTGTCCTCTGATACTTATTGTGTATTCGGAGTCTCTGCTGCTTGCGAGGGGTCCGGGGTTCAAATCCCCGTACGTCCATCTTTTTGGGTAGTTCCCCAGAGGTAAGATCTTATTTTTAAGGTTGGTTATATATTCCATGAGTTGCTGTTGGTGTAAAGTGTATGTCGAGTCACAGAAACTTAGAATAAATGACAACTCAATCATTAAGTGGCTTGATAACTATGGTCATATTCTTTTTGAATTATGCCTGCTATCTTTCATGGCGCCCAAGGGTATCTCTCATATCTTTGCAAATTGTCTTGATATAGTTATCCATGATCTCTCTCTCTCTCTGCTTTCCGTCCAACATGACTAAAGTGATAGGTATTTACTAAGAGATGAGAGGAGTGCAACGGCCTTTCATTTGCCGAGACCGTCTCGTCTAAGTTCCTTTGATTTCGTAGACCGCTCCAGAATCCAAATAATTAGATCGCAAAAAATGGTAAGTCGTCTTTAAACATCCTGTTGTTCTGTCTCCCGTCGATTTCCAAAATAGCTACAAAGAAAGTGGGTTTTGATGTTAAAAAAAGGGGGGTACATCAGAATCATGTCGTACGCTGTGAATCATGAAAAAAAGCATGACATGCTATGCCGTCTAATAACATTGCATAACGCTTTGAGCCCGAAGTCGATTATCGTAAAGTCGTGCGTAGAGGCCATGGGGCTTAAGTCGTAAGTAATACAGTCGAAGGTCCTAGTGGTATGACGAAGATCCCGAACAGAATTTGCAACAAAAAAAAAGTGATTTTTATGGTGCTGAATCATAAAAATCCGCCCTCGTTCCCAAATACCCCGATGCTGCCGCGCCATCGACAACGCTCGTCGGGGGTCTGGGTTCCGCGAGGTGTATGTGTGTCGTAATCGCCGCTACCACGGTTGCTACCGGTGCTAGCATTCGACTGCACGAGAAGCAAGCTGCTCGTGCCGCTCAATCGTTTCGCAAATTCATTGAAACTGAGATTTTTCACGTCGGAAGTCGAGTGCCGTTTCTCGTGAGACCGCCGCATCGGGCCTCCTTCTGGCAGTCTTGAGGAAGATGGCAGCATGTGCAACGACGGTCCATGAATGTGGGGCTGACTACTCGTCCGGTGGGTTGTCGGCCGGCTTCGCGAGTGCGCCGTGTGCGGCCTTAGAACACTGCTCATCCCAGCTTCACTATAGGTTGAGTTGTGGCGGCTCGTGATGAATCTAAGCGCTCTCGCCGAGGGATCTGTCTCATCGTAGTCGCCATGCTGTTCGAAGGCATAGTTATCACTATCCTCGTCTTCCTCTTCGACTTCCCTCCCGAACTCATCCTCATCGCTTTCATCATCTTCCCATGTGCTCTTCAAAGGTTCTTGCGCTACTGACCCTTTTCTCCCAGAGGTTTTTTGGCGATGTTCTGCTTCACACATCAGTGCCTCAAACCTTGCAAGTGACGTAAGCTTCTCCTCTCCAGCGACCTCTCTATCAGATCCTGGGATACACCGCATCTGAAACGCTCGATCCAAAATAGTCTCACGGGGCGCTATGCGCGGGCTCGAGTCTAGGCTAGGTTGGCTGGGGTCGTGGTGGGATGAAGAACTGATGCTACCACGAGTCCTGATAGGAGAGCTCAATGCCGAGGACCGTCCTTGTGATGATGTCCATCCTTCAATAAACCGTTCTGGATGCTCATCTACGGTAGAAGCAGGAGAGGGTAGATCGGAGTGCTGTAAGTTGGTGTAATGTTGCTGCACGAAAGTCATACTAGGCGGTATCATGGAACTTGCGCGAGAAGAAAGGTCACTCTTGCGAGACCGTAGGCTTGGGGATCCGGATGGATATATTGAGCTTTGGTCGCGTCCTGAAGGGTGAGCCCTACCGGATGACTTTGGCTGCAACTTAGACCTCAATTTTCCCTTCGCATTGGAAATTGGCCCCGGTTTTTCGACGGGCTCTTGCATTGAAGGAAACGGGCTAATGAAGGCCGGCGATGTCGGACTAGTTGGGCTCATAGGAATAAACTGCTGCTGCTGTTGTACGAGTGACTGAATGTACCTTGCCCAGTCGTCTAAGCTATACCGCGACTCCTCAGTCGCGAGAAACCACAGCTTTGTCGGGCCAGCATCTTTGTTGGCGATTAACCCAGTGGTCCGGCTCGATCGGCGCTTTCGTAACTTGTCGGTTGCTGGATCGGGGGAGATTTGCATAGTTAGAGTAGGAAGAAGATGTCCTTGCTTCCGATGAGCAATATGTTGCACCTGGCACTCTGTTATCGACGTAATGGAATGTTGAATGATGGGCTCGGAATCCTCCTATCGTCATGTCAATAACACAAGGTTGTCATACAAATTAACAGTGCGCACCTTGGACTTGTATACTGAAAAGTAGAGCATGTCTGCGGGAGCCTTCTGCTGCGTTTTCGCAGTCCAACCCCCTACGTCTCTTATCCGGGCATTGGACAAAACCTGGGAGAGCGAGAGATTCGACGAGTGCCCTTCCCTTTGGTGTTGTGGGCCAACAACAACATAACGTGGCTAGAGATAGAGTGAATCAGCATTGCAATGGAGTGAGATGAGTGCACAATCGGCGATAGTGGCTATAGGTACCTTCCAGACAGGCTTTCCAATAATCGGACCCCGATCCGGGGGCACAAGAAGAACACCCTCCATGAGGATTGCGACTACTCCCGAGAGTGCTGGGGTAGTTGCTCGTTATTGTTGCGGCGCGGGTAGAGCAGCGCAATGCGTTCGTATCCGGCGCTCGGTGTGTGGTGATGATGCGCAAGCAGAGAGGCTGAATCGTTCAGTTGCCGTCAAAACGTCATATCGAATGAGAAGAGTGGAAGGCAGCGCCTGGCAGGTGACGGGCTTTTGTTCAGGTCGAACAAAAGAATTGGGGGTCACAATGCAAGCAAGCAAGGGATGGTTGAAGGGAAGTAAGTGAGTATGTAAAGTATGTAAGTAAGGTATGTATGTATGTATGTAAGTGGCGCGCAGCTGGTCTTCTCTAAGAGGTTGGCGTCACCTACTTGGTAGAAGTGAGAACTCAATTCGTTGCGACTGGCCACCAACGATATACTATGTAAGTAGCGTGAAGTGGGAACTTGGGAGAGAGAAAAGGGTGAGATAGATAGAATGGTCGTGTACAGCACAGTATCGCAGGAGTGGTACATGTACTTTTGCGCCGACCGCAAGGCTCACTTGTTGGCGGTCCGTTTATCCTTGCCCTCACATTCTTAAATTAAATCTACTCACGACAGCACTGTACTGTACTCTTGTTGTTCGCTACCTACCTACCGCAAAGGGTGCAACGGAGAAAAGAGGCCAACGGGTGTGTAGTGTGTTGAAGGAGTCGATGTAACTCCTGAAAGCACCCATCTGGTCATGATGAAATGTGGGCTCGATGCCATGGAATAATTGTACCCGGCTTCGTCGCTAGGCCCAGAATAGAATAGGCCCAAGGGTTCTAAAAGTAGCTTGACTATACTCGGGTATAGACAAGGATTGCTCTAAACTCAAAGCAGCGTGTTTCCGATGACTTGTCTTTATAGCTTATGTGTGCCAGTACAGTGTATATTAGTATTACCCAGGCAACCTTGGGCCTGACCTTGGGTGCTGCTTGGGGTCCGGCAGCTGGAGCCTCTGGGAAGGCTCAGGGCGGAACTCAGGGGTATTCAGGGCCACACTAACAGGCCTAGTACAGTACACTACAGCAGCCTAGCAGTGCACGCCTGGGTATTTGGAGATAGGAGCCGACCCGAGTGATTGTAGATGATGTGTTCTGTTAGTATTTTAAAGTAACAGCTAGCATTCGGATCAGTTCCGCTGTACATTCCGGGTACCTATCTGCTAGCAAATATACTACGATACGGTACCTGTGAGCCAACACTCCACAGCTGTCTCGCGCAGCTAAGGGATGTTCAAGTCTTGTGACCCAGCTCTCCTAAGGTGCTTGCAATCTACAAGTATGTACTACCGAGCAAGCCGGGACATGCTCAAGTGTGTGTCGCCTTGCGCCAACAAATCTTTCGGGTGCAATGCATGCAACATACTGTACCAATACCCCATAGCCCGCGAACTGCTGGCTTGAAACTTGACAGTCGACAAAACGAGGCTTTGACAGGCTAGATGGCATCGATGTTTATTCTAGCTCCCCAAGCCTCTTAGGGCGGCACTTTCATCCCGGAGAGGAAAAAACAAACGAAAAAAACGAACACCTTGGCCAGCAGCTGAGAACTACGACGAAACGTCTAGCCTGTCTAGTATGTAAGTGGTATAATCGGTACATCAGATTGTGTATCTAGGTAATGAGCCTACAGCCCCCGTATATCGGATTGTTTCGATTGCACTAGAACTCGATATACTGTACTAACGTAGATAGTAGATTGGTTTATAAATATTAGGCCCAATAGCTTCTCCACGAAGCGAACGTGTTGCTCCTTGACACATAGCCTACAGTAGTGTCGCGCCAATGCTATGGAAACGGATCATGGATCGTGAAATGAAGATGCGTGTGACTATAGCCTATAGGGGGCCAAACGACCGATCGTGCTGACAGGTTAGGCTGTGGGAAAATAACAATAAGCAGCAGCAAACAGTATACAGTACAGAGGTAGGGATGACGGGAAAACCACCGCCAGTTCAACCATAGAGCAGGTCGCAGGTAATGCGGCCACTCCTTCGAAATTGATATTGTAAATGTAACCCCAAGCGTTTTCGATTCAAAAGCAATGAAGATGGGAATGTGATCGAGTTTGGAATCTGCGCCCTCATCTCGGCAATGCTGGTGCTCTGACCTCCGCCTTTATACTATTATTTCGGAAAGGAACAGGCGATGGATTAGGCGCGCACGCCGTTTTCGCTAGTCGTTACCGATGTATAATGCACTACATATAATAGACGGTATATACTTACAGTAGATTCTTTAATAGTGTAGTCTATCTACAAGTCAGATGCTCTTCGCAATCGCCGTGTCCATCTGTAAGCCCGCATAGGCATAGTTAGCTGTTACTGCCCTGTGTTCTAGAAGCCCCCAAAGATCCGGAATCCCTGGCACTAAGGGTTGACCGCTATGAC